GGAGAAGAGGGGGGAGAAATTGGAAGATAGTATGTAGGAACATGTGTTATAAACAATGTGGCATGTTGATAGCGCATATGCTGAGAATATATAGGGATATTTATCTGTGCTTCATCCTCTAGCTGTAAACATAGACAACTAAAGGCGTGATTAGGGGTGGAAATCATCAGTACAAATACTTAAATTTACTATGAGTAGTTTTTTTGGTTGGGTTTTTTTGTCTACTTTTGATTCTCTGCAATCTGTGCCAACTATGTAAAAGTACATCAGATTTCACGCCTTTTCCCCCGCACTGACTCCCTTTGTATTGCAATTATCAGCGAAAAATGTGTCGTCCTACACGATTCATACTTCCTGCCATGCTCGCGACGATATTCTGCATTTGTGTGAAAGAGCATTTGCTCGTCCCATTAGTTTTTATCAGTTTCTCGCGAAATCAGCCAGCGATAATTTGCTATTTTGCAGGCGGCTTGCTGACCATGGCCAGTTGTGTGGTATACAGCGTGGAAAGTGGTGATACTCCCGAATGCTGTAGATTGTTTTTGTTTTAAATTTGTTTGAATAAAAAATTTTTGCTCACTTTTTTTGTATTACTTGCTTGGTCGGCCATCCAGCCACTACAGCTGCCTGATATTATCTTTTTGCTTGTACGATATGTCCTTTTTTATGCGTTTTTTGCAGCTATGCAATGCAAAAACCCATATTGACGAGGGGTTGTCTGTGTGTCCGTGTGTATGTGCGTCTTTGTATCTGTGTGCGTCTGTCACGCAGTTTCATCTCAAGATCTGTAAAAGCTGCAGGGCTGAAATTTCGGGAACTTAATCTATATGCACGTATCAGCCCAAATCCCAAAATTAGTGTCATCACCCGCGCGGTGACCACGCACGGGCCCACCAATGTTTTTTTGGGGTAAGCTCATAACTCGGGGATCTGAGAAGCTAGAACACTGAAATCTTAGGGTATGTTCCTCGTCCAAGTGAATGGTAACTCAGGAGCCAGGAAAGCTAGGAAGCTGAAATTTTAAGAGGCTGTTTCCTGCCAGTTCTAGCGACTAGTCTTAATTATTCAGCTAGAAGCTTTTGCCGAAAAAGCCGTTGCCGGTAGCGGCAAACTGCGGGAAACTATGCAAAAAACGCATCTTCGCGCTAGCAGCCCGTGCGTTGGCCAATCATCTTGCTTTGTTTGGCGTCCCGTAGCCGAATGGGCGGTGGGACACCATACAAGGCAAAAAATGGTATAACCTGAAATTGAAGGGAGTGGCATAATTGCGCATATTGCGTGGGAGAATCCCAGTAACATCACTGTTTTTTATAAGATCTTATGCTGAACAGACAGTTTTGATATTCTTGGTATATCTTTTTTTTTCAAAAATACAGAAGCGGAACTTTTGCTTTTTGATTCTGCGTTAGAGCATGTTATACATTTATTTAGATTATACTGTTTTAATATTTGTTTCGATTGATTTCTTATTTTCGACATTTTTTATTGCTTTCAGTTACTGGGGTAACCGAAAATATGGATCGGTGGAGAGAAGCGTTTGCCTCAATGATAATCGTATTTTTGATTTTACGAGGTATGATTTATTATGTTTTTTGTACTGTTTTAGACGATCGTCATGGTACATCATTAGTTAACACTGTCGGCGAAGCCAAGAAATGTGCACTTTGATGAATATATGTGTCGAGATAACGATATCCTCAAGATATCTGTGATGGCGGTCATCGCCGCCGTCATCTTAAAAATTTTGTGTTTTTTGTATTTTTAAATATTTTGTGGTTTTCTCATGTTTAATGTTTGGTATTCGAGGAGATTATAAGAGCGATAGGGGCGATTCTCACCCTATCGCCCGTTTTCGAGTCACTTTGCGAAATTGGAGGAAGAAGGCCGATCGTCATCCCGCGGATCTCGTTTGTCACGCCAGAGGAGCCCGTCTTGCCCTACTGGCTAGCTTGTACTGCACTACTGGTTGCCCGTCCTGTGTTACTGAAGCAACGGTAGTTCGTCTTGTACTCCTGATGAATCAGCGTAACTCTGTCGATCTGGACCACCCAGAGAAGAGAGTTTTTTCCCGACACTGAGTTTTGCGAAGTTTTTGCCGACAAACACGGAAGTTTTATGAATTAAGTGATATATTATGATTTCTTTAGGGTCATTGGGTGCCGAACTGTTCTTCCTGGCTTCCAATCCAGTTGTTTTACCAAATCCCAAGGATGTCGCGCTAACAGGAAGTGATGTTGTGAGGGCAAACAAATATATGCTGGGACTTAGTACGCGGGCGCCTGCCAAGTGGACAAGCGATGATGGCGACTTGCTCGATGGTGGCTTTTTCAATCGGCCACGTGCACTGGCAATCGGTTAGAAATTTTGTCATTTTTTAGTGCAAGGAATAAAATCGCATTCTATACATCTTTTGCTGTAGAAGAATCCTGAAACTGAATTTGCAAGGTGGCTCAGAATGTCATTGTGTTTCAAAATGGACCTTGGAAACATTTCATTTGTTCTCACTGCTTGAAATTCGTTTTTTTTTTTTTTTTTTAAATAGCATATAATCATGAAGCATTTTAAACTGCAGTTACTGTAAGCGATGGGATGGCTCTCAAAAATCTGTCCGAGTCGAGATATGTCTTATCGAAGGGAGGCATGGGATTTGATCATGGCGAGCTGATCGATTCAAAATTGTTCGGTGAGGAGCAAGAATGGGTTTTGATGAACAAAGCTGGATTAATCGGCTCACGTATCGCTGATGATGCCCAGAATGTTTTGAAGAAGACCGAAGTTAAAACGAAATTGGAGCCTTTGCGAAAAGAAATCGATAACCTTTATAAAATTGCACAATCGGTAAGAAAATCGTGATCTTGCCGCCTTTATAAAAAACTTTTTCGCCAGATTTTCCCTATTCTCATCAACTTTTCCAATCAGTGTGTAAATAACAACGGAATCCCCATTGATCAGGTCTCTTCTAGTGAAGTTACTATTCCCCTAATTCACTCAAAATCTTGCATTTCGAACATATTTAGGTGAAGAAATCAGAGGTAATACGGAGTGCGAGAACGCCGACAATTTTCATCATCAATGTGCAGGGTCTGGAAAATGCCCAGCAACAGCAACATTTGTCAGTGGATCAGTATGCGCAAGCACTCAGTGAGCTGGAAAAAGCAATCTCATATTTGACTTCAGCGCTCCAAACCGCATATGGTGATCGTGTAATTGTGGAACTAATCACCGAGTCACATTCGGAAAGCAAAACAAGGCAAAAAAGACAGGTAACCATGCCAAAAATTGCTTGTAAAATCACTTCATAATGTAATTATTATTTGGAGAAATTTGATATCCCGAAGTTCCAAATAAACAGAATTTGCTAGTGTTTTTCAGGCTGATTGAAAACAGATTTCTAGTAGGGGGAGAGGGGCGGGAGGGGAGGAATAGGCGCTTTTTACCCCGTAAAAGATAGGTTATTGAAATATTTGGATTGGCTATAATTCATAGACTGTTCTAGTCAGCTCTGCAACTAACAACTTTTCCTATTGCTTTAACCGGAGCTGCATCACTTGGTGATCAACTTGTTGGTGGTACTGTTTTTCTTGTCTTCTGAAAGTATTAGGAGCCCAACTATTTTTCCAAAAAAAAAGCAGCTGGCAGACTTTAGCCGCTTCGAGTTCCCCGTGATATATGGGTAAGAACCTAATCTCCACCTCATCTCAAATTTTTTCATTTCTAGATGTGGTACTTCATCGACTAGGAGTGACTTTTTTCTTCATTTTGAATGACAGATTTACAAGGT